ACACACACACACACACACACACACACACACACACACACACACACACACTCCAGCACACTCACGCACCCAAGAGTTTGAGCGCCTTTCTGCACGTGACCCTGTGTCTCTCCGTCTGTGTGTATGACACCAGTCTCCCCGGTCCCTGTCCCTGGCTCACCCCACCCACAGAACCAGGAACCTGTTTGCTATTCCCCGCCTTTATTCACGCCCCCTGAGACCATCACTCCAACCAGTTGCCTCTGACCTAGATTTTCTGCACTAATCACGAGCCTAACGAGATCTAACAAACACCCAGCTTAGCACAGCTGAGACCCTTGAGGTCAATTAGTACAACCCAGCTCAGCTCAGGAAATGAGAGATGGAGCCAGAAACTCTTGTACATGCCTCACCCCAGCCCCAGCCCAGCCCCACCCTGGAAGCAGGCAGGGGGAGAATGCAAAAATTAGCAGACCCAGTTTAAAAATAGGATCTTGGAGAGTTAACAAATGTGCGGAAAACGGCGTTAAGGTTGGAAAGAATACAGATTCCCAGCTCCTCCTAAGTTATCAGGAGGGTAGAGGTTGGTGCAGTGATGGGAACGAGGCACATAAGGCAGTTTTCCCTTTCTTGAGGGACAATTACGGAGAAGAGTAACTCCTAAAAGAGTGGGTAGCACTAGAATCTTGATCTGCACCCCAGTCTCCAACTCTTAATCCCTCTTCCTCTTTGCTTCCTGCTTTGGACAAGTTGGGGTGGTCTCCCCTGTCTTTCCAGCTGGTTTGGAATAAGTCTGAAATCACCTCCTTCTTTCAGAAATGCTAGATTCAGCCTCACTCTTGCTGTCCCTTCTTCCAGATATTAAAACAGTGAGAGCGAAGAGCCCCCTTCTTCCCGAGAAACACAGAAAAGTGTAAAATAAAGGTGATCAGGTTTGGGTTAACCAAGTATTGTGATGACGCCCAATTACTGTCTTCTAGATGAAGGCTGAGAAGAACAGCCAGGAGGGGTAGAATCGGGTTCCTCGTGCAGCTTTCCCACCTGGCAGGAAAGCGGCACAACAGAAAGAAGATGGAGCAGGGCAACGTGGTCCTCAGTTTCCCGGGTTCCTTTCTGTAGGTGGCAAAGCAAGGCAGTAGAACGCTTCCCCGCCCTCCGTCCTCTGCGTGCAGGCAAGCTCTCCTAACCTCATCCCTAGCACTGGGGGCTCTACTGAGGTGGGAAGGGAAGGAGAAGCCTAGCGAAGTGCTCTCTGCCCGAGTGGGGAGGAGGACTCGGAGCCACCGCCGGAACAGAAGGTTTCTCCCCCCGCCCCGCCCAGCTCTGGCTGCAATGAGCTGCACTCCGCTCGCACCCTTCCCCATCCACAGTCCAAACTTACACAGCAACCAGGAACCGGGTGGGCAGGACAATTCACGGAAGCATCATGTCTACATGTAGATGACTCCCAAATTCACTTTCCAGGCCCCAGCCCGCCTCGGAGATCAAGGCACACACAGCCACGTGCCCATTTGACATCTCTACTTCAGTGCCGAACAGGCGGCTTCAACTTAAATAAGTGTGGAAAATCCTTAAATAATGGTCCTTGCCGAACCAGCCTCCTTCCATGCTCTTTTGCAATGTGAGTTTACTGGTCCTCTGCTCGAGAGGCGTTGC